TATTGTCCAAATTAATTTCGAACTAGTTCGGGTTAACTAATTTGGATTGAATTTGGGTTCGCAATTTAGGTTGAATTTCGGACTCAATTTCCGGCATGACACAATAACTTGACCAACTTAAATTCAAAATAAATTCAATAAAAACCTAAAATACACTTCATGTGTGTGTGTATATATATTTATTTATTTATTTATTTTAATTTTGGGTTGAACTTGAATTGTGAATTCGGTTTGAATCTGAATTGTGAAATTGGGTTGAACTTGTGGACCTGAATCCTTAACCCGAGTATGGCCCGAATTCAATACGAGTTGAGAATTTTCAACCCAAGTCCAATCTAAGTTTTAAAACCTTCAACCCAAGCCCTATTTTTTTCGGGCTAGGCTCGAGTTGAGTTTACGGTAGTTTGCCCAAGTTGCACCCCCAACTTTGAACAAAGATTATTGAAGGTAGAACGAGACAATGGTAAAAATATCGCACAACTGATCACTAGACTTTATATATGTAGTGATTATCTCCTTTCGTGTCAAGAGATTCCAAATAAAACGATAATCCACTTCGATGTGTTTAGTGCACTCCTGAAATACTGGATTATTGGCAATGACAATAGATGCCTAATTATCACAATGCACCTGCATAGGAGAGGACACACTAATTCCTATATCACGAAGTACAGAATGAACTCACAACATTTCACATGTCGTGTGAAGACAAATGATTGTTTCTCTTTTTGATTTATATTGGACACACGAAATGACAAGTGAGTTGAGATGGTAATATAAATTTACCTAGTTTTAGGTATGTCTATATATATATAGACATCATCTCAACTTGAATGCTATTGTATCTCAACTCTAAGGGCATTACTTGAATGCTACCGCATGCAGGTACATGTGAAGAAATGATCAAAAGGGCTGCATTTGCCAGAGAATTGAGAGTTACTATCGTAATGCATGACTACTTCACATGGAGATACTCTTCGGTGATCGATAGCGAAGTAGTACCATGAGGAAAGGTGAAAAGATCCTCATCGAGGAGTGAAATAGAACATGAAACCATAAGCTCCCAAGTAGTGGGCGGAGCCACGGACTCTGAAAGCGTGCCTCTGGAAAAATGAGTCAGCGACTCATAGGCAATGGCTTGGTTAAGAGAACCCACCAGAACCATAGCAAAAGCAAGTCTTAATAGGGCAATTGTCACTCTTTATGGTCCCGAACCTGGGTGATCTATCCATGACCAGGATGAAGCTTGGACGAAACTAAATGGAGGTCAGTTATATATATATAATTTAAATTGAATTTATGATAAATGATACGTTATTATTGAAAATTGATGAGCGTTCTGATACACGTTTTGACAACCATGATCTCTGCTACTTCTAAATATACATATAGGTGAAAAAACTTTTGAATGACCTATTTGCCCTTATAAAATCAAAAAAATTCAATTTCTTTAATATTATCTGTTGTACGATAGGAGAGCGTAATGACACAAGGCTCAATATACATGTCTAGCAAAAGCATAAACTCTAGGTAGTGAGACGAGACCATCCATAGTATATTAACACACCTTAAGTTCTTTTTCTATTCGATGTGAGTTTTCAATTTTATTTTTTTGGGTATTGTATTTCTAGTTGTATAGAATTTGGGTTTATTAATTAGTTTATTTGGTTTCTATCTACTTGGTTTTGGCGATTGTTGCAGTAAAAGCTATGGTAGTAGCCAATAGGATTTTGTGGACTAGGTTTATTCGATTCTGACAATTTACCAATGTAGGTATCTCTTGATTTTGTTTTAAATAACTTTGTTCAATTTGAGCTATCTAAACTATTAAACAACCATTTACTCTAAAAGCTTATGTTGTTAGAGATAGTGTAACTTAAGTATTTATATTACAATAGACTCCCTCACGTGCAGGCTATATTTTGAGCTTAACATGTGAAAATCTTTTAATATAACACTGGGCCTCCCGCCTTATATTATGTAAATCAACCATCTACTCCAAAAGCTTAATCTGTTAGAAAAGGTGTAATTTGAGTATTTATATTTTAACATAAACAATTTTAGAGTGTCATTCGCTTTCCCCTTTTTTTGGAAATGGATTGTTTTGGATGCTTATTTTTGCAAAACATAGGAATGGAATCAACATAAAAGGAAAATAATAAAAAAACATATCCACTTGTTATGGTGACCCAATACTCCAGAATCTACTTGGTAATGTTTTTATAAAGCTACCGTGAATATGATTTTCAGTTTATTTGAGAAATTAAGCATGCATAGTATAACTTTTTGGACTGAAGAATCTTCACATGTTTTGGCAATTTTCATACAAATGAATTTCGTATAAGGATTTTGTTTGTTAGAAGTGTAACTTGGTTTGAAGTGGAACAAATCGTTCTTCTAAATAGCATCACGCATTCTATGATTTTTTATTTTTTCTCAGTGTTCAATTTTTATTATTTGATAAAAACGATATCGACAAATACATACTCAATGATTCCAAACTTGATCAATAAAATTATTAAATTAACATAAAAATAAAAATAATAACTTGAATTGATTTGCATGCAATGCACGTGTGCACTAGCATATTTAGACTTAAAGGTAAAGGAGTTTAGTTATGGGCAATGGGATAGTTGATTTGTATGGAGTGTCGATGTCTGGTGAACATAATTCTCTTTTCTATTAGGTAACTGAATGGAAATTAAAATTTTTATTTCTTTCTTGTACTTAAATCTCTTATCACTTCCTTTTTGTTTTTGTTAGAAATTGATTGTAATTGACTAATTTTGTGAAGTCTTAATGTAAATCGCAACCTAATTCCATGGGCAAGATGCATCAAAGATCAAGTTCCGAAAGCAACAAGAAAGTACGTAGTTCAAGCTACAAAATTCAAATCAAGAGATCTCTAATGCACCTTCAATGCTTAGGATAAAAGTAATAACCTAAATACGTAAGAGCCCTTCTTATATTTATAGACAGAGGATAATGAAGAGAATGGAATTTAAATTAAGAATATCCATGAATGACTATTAGGTTTTTCATGAAAACGATTTTCTAAACCTTAAATGTGTTTTGAATACAAAATAAGTCAAGTATATGATCCTATTTGAGCAACACATTTTAGTGCTCAATAGGTCAAGTTTTTGCTCGGTTTCTAGATTAAAAGCCAATACGAACTGTCATCTACTTGCTCACCTTTGGCTAAAGTGACCTTTAAACACTTAGGG